TATTAATGGAGTAAACAGTTTCAAAATGTAACATTTGATGAAGTTCAGGATAAACACTTTTATGTTTGACTTCACAGTTTTTWGAGTAACTTCAAAAACTTTGGGCAAAATTTGCATTATTATTTTTTTATTGAAGACCCAAGCTAAGCAGTAATAACAATCACCCTCCTGCTGCCCTCGGGTCAAAACGACACGTGGTCTAAAACTGAGGCCTCGTTTTAAACCAAGGACAGTTGGAGGGTTAAGAAATAAAACACATATTTTAAATTAATTAGAGGACTACCCTCCTGCTACCCTTGGGTCAGYATGACAAAGCAGAATCTTGAGGCCTCAAGGGTCATTTTGACCCAAAGGCAGCTGGAGACATGATGTGTTAAAAAATTAAAAGATGACCTGCTGCCCTTGGGTCAAAARGACCAACAAGGGCTAAAATGAGACTTCATGGTCATTTTAACCCAAGGGAAACAGGTGGGTTAAGGGAAAAAAACAGGCATTTTAAATTAGTGAAACAACAACCCTCCTGCTACCCTTGGGTTAAAATGATCCACAAGACCTAAAACTGTGACCTCCTTTTAAACCAAGGACAGTAAGAGGGTTAAAAAAATCTAAATTTTTTTATTTAATTAAAGAACACCCTTCTGCTACCCTTGGGTCAAAATGACAAATGTGTAGCTTTAATCTTGAGCGTGAAGAAAGGAAGACTTYGGTCTACATGTCTACATGACCCATGAGGTCTAAAGCTGAAGTCTCATGGGTCATTTTGACCCAAGGGCAGCAGGAGGCATAAGAAATAAAAAGAAAAGTTAAATAAAGTTCCTTTTTTTTTACTTTAGTTAAATTGTGTGTTTTCTTTCTTATGCCTCCTGCTGCCCTTCAGTCAGAATAACCCATGAGGTCTAAAGCTGAAGTCTCATGGGTCATTTTGACCCAAGGGTAGCAGGAAGGTAAGACGTCAGATTTTTTGTCACTCAGCAGGGGGATCAAGACATGCGACTCGAAGTATAAAACAAGCTTTAATTTGARCCAAGGGCAGCAGGAGGGTTAAAAATATAAACATTTTTATTTAATTAAAGAACAACCCTTCTGCTACCCTTGGGTCAAAATGACAAATGTAGCTTTAATCTTGAGCGTGAAGAAAAGAAGACTTGGGTCTACATGTCTACATGACCCATGAGGTCTAAAGCTTAAGTCTCATGGGTCATTTTGACCCAAGGGTAGCAGGAWGGTAAGACGTCAGATTTTTTGTCACTCAGCAGGGGAACAAGACGTGCGACTCGAAGTATAAAACAAGCTTTAATTTGACCCAAGGGCAGCAGGAGGGTTAAAATTAAATGCAGATATTTTAAATAAATTGGAGAAGGAAGATGATTTGTTTTATTAAACTTTCTGCATCAATCGTTAGTGGACGTTTTTGGGTCTTAGTTTCAGATTTTGGTCTTAAAATAGTTCTAAATGGTTCAGAAACCCAGTTTGAAACGACGATGTTGTTCTGAAGTGATATTTAACTCTCGTAGCTACACGCCTGAGCGGCCTGGTTCTGCTTCTCTCACTTCCTCTTTCCTCTCAGATAGAAGTTACTGTCAACACACAGGAAACAGTAGCCGAAGGAACCGCAGGACTGCAGCTACGTTAGCTCAGCCGCAGATCAAAGTCTGGCCAACATGCAAACTCACAGCAGGTCAGAAACACGTCTGCGCTGGGTTTAAAACGCTGCTTTTGTTGCTTCACTAAATGTGTTTCTGCATTTAAAGCTGAAACTCTTCCTCATTTTCAGAAAATAAAAGCTTTTAACTTCAGCTGCTTTTAAATAAAGTGCAAAAAGAGGACGTTTATTCCAAAATGATCTCTGAATGACTGTTTGTTTTACGGTTTTTAGCTTTAAATTAAAATATTTTGAATTGAATTTTAAAACAACTAAAAGAGGTAGAATCCTTTCACAACAGAAAGAGCCGAAATTCAAAAATGTTCAATATTTTCTAAAGCTAATGAAGTTGCAGAAAGGTAGCTAAAAGGTAAAAAAGAAGCAAAAGGCTAGCTAAAAGCATAAATCAGTAAAATAGTTGCATAGATTTTTTTTTGATTTATATTTTTTGATTTATATTTTTAGATTTTATTAGCCTTTACTGTCCCGCAGAGGGGAAAGCAGTGTGCTGCCAATTACAGCAGCTGAGGGGTTAAGGGCCTTGCTCAAGGGCCCAAAGTGGGGCTGCTTGGTTTGGGGAGTTGAGCCGGCGACCTTACGGTATAAGTACAAAAAAAACCTATACATTAGAAGTAGCAAAAGACTGGAGGATAGTGTCAAAAACCTACTAAAGTATTAAAATAGCTAAATGCCATGAAGTAGCAAAATATAGCTAAAAGAAGCAAAAGATATAAAAAGGCTAAAATTAGCAAAAGGCTATTTTGAGGCCAAAGACGGTAAGAGATTAGCTAAAAGCTAAAATTTYTAAAAAGCATGCTACAAGCTTAAAAAAGGAAAAGCTAGTTAAAAGCTGAAATAGCAGAACAACAACTAAAAGTTAAAAGAAGCTACAGGAGCCAAATTAGTAAAGAACAGCTAAAAGCTAAAAGCAGCACAACAATATCTCACAGTATCAAAGACAAGCTGAAATCTGAAAGTAGCCAACATCAGCTGAAAGGTTAGGGAAACATAATAGAACATTAGCTATGAGCTAATAGTAGCAAAAAGCTCAAAGCTAACAGTAGCATAAAAGAGGAATCAGATTTAGGAGAACGTTTTGAAGGAATTAAAGTGCCTGTGACGTCAAATTTTTGTGATACATATGAATGCATTTTTAGAAAGATGACGATAAAATATTGCAAAATAAATTTCATGTCGTTGAGATGAACGGTTGTTGAGATATTTGCATGTGAAGAAACAGGAAGTGATGTCAAAGGGGAATGTCGGCAATGTAAACAGAGCGTTGTTACAACAGCTAACAACAGACTGTAGAGAAGAATCTGATGTTTCTTTAGATTATTTTGAGTTTTTACCAGAGAGATGAAGAAGAGTTAAAGTTTAAATAATAATGTTACATTAAACAAAGACCAGAGAGTTTTCATTGTTAAAGAGTTCCCCTTTGATGTCACTTCCTGTTTCACTTTGACTGAGTCAAGTTCAAAAGAAAATATACCAGTTATGGGACAAAATGGGTTAAATCGTGTGTATTGTTCCAGCTTTCTTAAATATAAAGATGTTTTTTTTGACTTTTTATATGCATGTCACTTTGAGATCAACGTCTTTCTGTGGTAACAATGTTTGCAAATCAAGTTAAACGTGTAGAAAAAAACAACAACAAAAGTATAAAAATTACAAATCACATCACCCACCTCCTGAATGAGCCAAATGTTTGACTTATGAACAAATAAAATAGTAATAGTTACACAGAAAAAAACACAGAAAATATCCAAACCTTTGATTTTTAACGATCAACTTACAGTTTTCGAGCCGGACGTGGGGTCTTTGACGTAGTGGGCCGTCTGCGCTTTGCTCTGCTGCTCGCCGTTTGCCGCCTTACCGAGAGCCTCCTGCTCCTTCTTAGAGCCGACGCAGCCCATGGTGCCGTCTGCAGGAGCAACACAAAACTTCAGCGACTTCACACAGGAAGAAACCTAAAATATCTGTCCGGTCGAAACAAAAACACAAACCAATCCTCACTTAACAAATTCAACAGGTTCTCTGATGCATGAAACCTGAAAGGAAAAACATTAATTCACTGAAAAGCTCAGTCGTTTGAGGATAAATTATATAAAAAACGAGGAACTGAAACATTTTATCCTCCTGGAATCAAATAAAAGGAGTGCTGCACCGAAACAGATATTTAAATGATTAACTTTAAAAAATGTCTCAAAAGTGGGTCAGAAAGTTAATTATTATTATTGAAGTTTCAGAACACAGGTGGTTTGATTTTTAACGTCCTGTAGAAACATGTTAGGATTATTTGTAAATTAATTAAACTTAGAAAATGATTATCACAAAACTGGAGTATTCTTAGACGTTGTAAAGCTTTAATTTACCAGAACAAAAACCAAACTATAAAGTGCATTCGATAATCTAAACCAGTCCAGATTAAAGCATTTTAATCTTATAAAAATTAAAAGTTTCAAGCAGTTGTGTTGTTAATGATTCATAATTTGTGCAGACACGTTTTTAACATTACTATCAGAAATCAAACGAGCTGGTTTAGAGAAATAAACATGCAGCAGGTCCATTAGTTAAATTTAGTTAGTTTAGTTAGCTATAATACTGCTTTTAAGCTAATTTTGTTGTTTTGTGGTAAAAATAATACTAATATACTGATATTAAGCCCACCTAGACCAGGTCGGTCGGGTCCTTCGAAGGACCTAGCCCCTGAATTTAGACACAGCCTAAATCATAATCCGCTAACTAAAAGTAAAGCTTCACTAATGCTAAACTACTAATGTAAAAACAGTTAGTAACAGCTAACACGTAGCAGAAGCTAACAGTAACAGCTAATCGCTAACCATTAAGATGACTGTCATCAGACGTATTTGTCTCTTTCGAGCAGAAGACTGGTGGGCCTCACAAACGCCTGATGAAGTTAGCTTGTTAGTTAGCCGTTAGCGAATTTAAAGTTGGCAAAATTGACTTTAGCTAAAGCTATTTGGTCCGGTAATGGTTTTCAAAGTAAGTAAAAAGAATGTCCATTAAATGTGTAAAAAAATAAAAAATAAAAAAAACGGGTGAAATCTAACGCTAAACAGCTAAATAACTAAAGATTTGTAGAAACTAACTCCAACAGCTAATCCCTAACTGTAAAGACGATTGTTAATGACTGTGTCCAAAACGACAGGACGGGTCCTCCGGAGGACCCAGACTCCCCGG